GTCTTGCAGCACAATGTGCAGGTCACAGGCAACACAGTGTGGTGTGCTGGTTACGTTAATGTCGGGGGCTATCTTCACGATCATCTCGTGAAAGTGGAGTCAGCTGTGGGAAGGTTTTTATCAGCAGGTTTTGTTTAAACTAATTGTTGTTTCCCCTGCTGTTTCCTCTTCTTCCTTTCAGGGTGAACAAAAAAGGGGGTATGGTACAAGCTCAGCTCTGGTATTTTTTGCCTCAACACGAACCCACACATCCCCAGTTTATATGACATTCAATCTCTTCAGGGTTTTAGATTTGTTAGGTATGTTTTTCTTTGAGAAACAGACGGTTTGTTGGCCGAGTAGGCCAGTCCAGATCGTCTATACCGCCATAAAAGACCAACACAATGACACTCACCTTACAAAACCAAAATATGTCTATTCTGGACTTAAAATATGTTATTTTATCACTGGCATGGCTGAAAAGGAGCACCTAAATCAGCTACGCAACACTGTAGGAGGCAACTAACGCTGTTATGTAACCCCTTACACAAGAGCAAAGTTTTGTATATTGAACTGATGTCAGGAAGGGGGGGTAGCCTATGAAACACTGACCAATAAGATTAAATCACAGACAAAGAAAACAGACCATACAGGAAATATTCTAAGGGCTACAACATTATTGAACTGGTCACAAATCGAATTAAAGCCTGTGTTTGTGTAGCTGAAAGTTTAAAAAAAAAGAAAGAAAGCACAATTCATACTGGGTTTAAAGTCAAAATATAAAGTAAAAACAATAATAGAATAAAGACAAGGTGTAAAGAAACTTACATTTAGAGGTGAATTAAACAAATCCACGTATACTCACACTCATACTTCATAAACCCCCCCCCTAAATTAAAGCTTCTGTTAAATATATTGTATTTTGTGGCTCTTTTATGACCTATAAAAGATAAAATATAAAGCATTATGTATGTAGTTAATTTTATATATTATATACATACATAATACTTTATATCTAATCTTATTTTTGATTCTGTTCTTAAGGTCAGGGTTTTTAATTTTAGTTTAATGTATGTTTAATGTATGTTTGTATTTTGTATGCTACTGGATGCTTGAATTTCCCTCGGGATAAATAAGTCTATCTATCTATCGTATTATCTATCTATCTATCATATCTATCTTCTATCTATCTATCGTATCTTCATATTATCTATCTATCTATCTATCTATCTATCTATCCACTCCATCCATCCATCCATCCGTAACATAAGCCATTGGAAAACCCAGCAGGTTTGAAGCCTCGAATGTCGGAGCTCGAAAGGAGCCCCTGAAGGCACCACCACTCTACGTCACCGTGAGTGTGTTATGCCCTCATTCCTGAATGCATGTGTGAAATTCCTCTCACACAACAAAAGAATATTTTGCATAAAGATGTTGGTGCTTTTAAGGTTTCCAATTAGTTATTCACAGGTCGGTTTATAAAGTTCATGACTGCGGTTGAGAGGGGTTTAAAGCAACTATCGGAATGCATATTGCAATGTGTTTTGTTGTTTTGTTTTTTTTATGAAACATAAACTTATGTGCAGATGGATGTGTCATTATGTATATATTACTGGGGTATATCACTCTTTATGCAAGTGAGTGCAGCGGGTGATTCAGTGACAGGGAGTGTGCTGTGCAGAGGCAAAGCGCAAGCTCAAGTTGGCACCCGTCGTGTGGCACGTACACAGTCTGCAGGAGTCCCTGGAGGAGGGGTTACTGGAGAGGAGCGAGTAATCTGATCAAGAAAGGTTGCATGAAACATACTTTAATAGCAACAAATAACACGAGGCCAATCTAGGATGGCAGTCTGGAGATGAGTGGTTGCTCAGTCTGGGTTTTTCACTTGAAACAGAAAGTGTTTTTGTTTGCAAGGGCGCGCCTTTGTCACTCCCCACTATAATAGATTTAACACAGGATTGTGCCTGTAAAGTAAAAACAGTGTGTACAACCATGCATGACACTAAATGCTTCATAAAAAAAATGACAAAATAAATGAACTACAAGTAGAAATATTAAGGTTAATTAGTTACATTACAGGATGAGCTCTTGAAATAAACATTTGTGTCCGGTTTCTACAATTATTTGCAACTGAGTTTAATTATTTTAGAACATATAAATATATAAAAATCAACAAAAAACAAATAAAATGCTGAAATAAAACACATGGTCATGTTACTACATCTCCCACGATGCACCGTTTCTTGCTACGCGGGTAAATGGCGCAAAAGCCCCGCGACGGGTGAGGACCAGACGAATGCCTGTTATTAAAAACAAGTAAACACGATTTCTTTCGCTTCGTGCGACATTTCGACTTCATCCAGCGGGGTTATTATCATTTAAAGATGGGGACTTTTATGTGTAAACGCGGCTGTGTTTTAGTCTGTTGATCCCTGAAGTGAGTTAACGTTACTCTGCCGTCGTTACATTTGGTCTGCGGCCTGAAACGGGTCAGATATAATCCGAGCCGAGTTTAATATAAAGTGTGGTTGTATTATTGTATTGTTTGATTGTTAACAGAGTAAATTGCAACAGTGAAGGCATGAATAAGCGAGAAGGTAAGTCGGAGCTTTGGAGACTGGCAGCGTTTCTGTGCAGGTTGTGTTGTTTGCTGTTTTCACTCAGCTAGTTGTGTGTTTATTAAACTATATGTAAGATATATATAACCTTAATCTGAGCCACTAAACACCAATTAGAAAGCAGACTTTAGAAAAACAAAACCACAGCTAACTGAAAAAATGTTGTGCACTCACAAAACTTACTAAAATAAAATAAAAATAGAGAGGAAAGGTTAAACACAACATGAGGAGGCTTTGGTGCACATGTTTATTGAGACTGGGAGGTCTACATGATGTGTTTGTATTGTAATGCCTATTCTGAATTTGTTCAGTCTTACCACTGACAAACACCCTCATATATTAATCATTTTTAAGCAATTAAAAACTAGACTGAAACAAGTAAATCCTAATAGAAACTAAACTGGATTCAAAACAAACACTAAAAATTAAATAAAAACGAATGGAAAATACACAACTATTATAATTCTCGTGCCCTGAGAATACATCAGATCTGTTATACAATAAAAAGTGTAAATATTTAAACACGTAAAATCAACTTTCTTGTACAAAACATAAAGACAACATAACACAAGGAAGGACGAGGCAGGCACATTAAGAACAACAGGAGCATTTTTTTTTATATAAAACATGAAGATCCTTAACATGTTCTTAGGATGAAAAACTTAATAATAATACATTTTATTTATACAGCACTTTTCAAATCAGATTTATATTTTTTTAATGATAAAATGATAAAATCAATCACCAAAATAAGGTAAAACCCCCAAAAATGCCAAATCCAAAACACTTCTCTAGAGCGTCTTTTGTTAGTTTCCCATTTTGTGTAAACGTCCATGTCCTTTAAGCTCAATATCCACTCTTTGTAACTCAGACTTTCCAAACAATAGAAGTCTTAAACCCAAGTGATAATAATCTCAATGACATCAGGTTAAGCAATTAAATCTTCATGTGCAGAATCGTTGGATTTGACTAACCCAGTTTAACAGAAAATGACAGCAACCAGAGACGTTTATTACTGAACACAAACTGCTGTATTACCAGACTTTTTCTGCCTCCGTCAGGTGAAGGATGTCCCCGGAAAAATGCTGATGCAGTGCAGGATCGTGACGCGAGCGCCAACCCGTCCTCCCCTATCGTCGCTGTGTTCAAAGGTAACCACATCCTCGGCATTTTAATGACATTTTGTCACCCACACGCGTGTTCAGACGTCTGCATTCAAACCTGTAACCTTAAATGTCTGTTTTATGTTTTAAAGTTTTCCAGCAGGAGCTCGACACCAAACACGACAAATATGAGCGGCTTGTTAAGATCAGTCGAGACGTCACCATTGAGAGCAAGAGGACAATTTTTCTGTTACACAGAGTGACCAGGTATAATCTGTGCACTTTAGTTTGGGAAGGATAGTAGATTTCTTCATTTAATTCAGCTGCTTAACTTGAAGATTTACATGTTCTAACACTGGCTTCAGTTTTTATTAGGAATGCACTGTCTGATACTGTGCTCATGTACTCAAATTTGTAATCATAATACTACTCTGATACCCCTTTATGGTGACTACTAGTAATGCTAGTACGTATCTGCAAGTACCCAATACTTGTTCTTGTGGCGTAATGCTGTAGAA